TTTGCCTAAAGTCATCAAAATTATGGTGGGCTCACATTGCTATACCATGTGGAACTACCTCACTTGGTTTCAACCAGGTTTAGAGTCCTACAATCCAAAAAGTATGAAATCCTAAAGTATAGACATTGCCTGTCATCAGAATAGTAAATGGACTAATTAATAGTTTTATGTAAACCCTGACTCTGTGACTGTCTAAACTGAGGGTACCTGGCAGTTAGTTTTCCATTTGGCATCCATCAAGGCATGATTTTTTTTTTTTTTTGAGAAACTAAGGTCTCTCTTTCTAGTCTTGGGTAGAGTGCCGTAGCATCATAGCTCACGGCAACCTCTTGGGCTCAAGCAAACCTCTTGCTTCAGCCTCCCAAGTAGCTGGGACTATAGGTACACACCACAACACCCAGCTAGTTTTTCTATTTTTAGTAGAGACGAGGTCTTGCTCTTGCTCAGGCTAGTGTGGAACTCCTGAGCTCCAGCATCCACCCACATCACCCTCCCCGAGTGCTAGGATTACAGGAGTGAGCCCCTGTGCCCTGGCAGAAGGCATGATTTCTAACAATTGCACTTTACTTCAGCCTTTTTGGCAAGAGTTAGTTTGTATCAAAAGCTTTAAAATGGTGTATCTTTTAACCTAATAGTTCTGCTTCTTGGCATTTATCATAATGACATAACCAAAAATACTTCCAAGTTTTACAGATAATAATGTTCATATCATCTAATTTTTCTGAACATTGGTCATCTTTGATTTCAGTAACCAGAGAGAAAATGTTTTTTATTTTTCAAATTACCCTTCCATGCTGAATTTTCAAACTGGATTTCCTTGCTTGGAACATTTTTTTTTTTTTTTTTTTTTTTTTTTAAGGCTAAAGTGACCTCCTCGATTCAACACCCAGAAACTCCTCTGCACATTTCTGGCTTCCATCTGCCCTCCAAGGTAATTCCTTAGATGAGCCAGGCTCTTCATGTTCTTCTCTGCTGTACACCACACCTGGATTTACCTAGATGAATGTCACAGTTTGTCCAGCCCTGACCCGTCTTGACGTCCACATCCCATGTGATTTAATCTGTAACCCTCTCCGTTTGCAGGTTTTTTTTATTATTATTATTATTATTATTTTTATCTCAGCCTAATCCCCCAAAAGATACAGTAGAAAAAGGACACCCAGCTGGTGAGCCCGACAACCTAGAATTCAGTTCCTTCATGTTCTGGAGAAACCCGCTGCCTAATATTGATCATGAACTACAGGAGCTGCTGGTAAGGCCCTGGCTTCTGACCTGATGGCAGCGCCATACCTTCTCTCTCCACACTGCTCCTGTGGGCCGGGAGTCTAAATTCTTTTGGTGTTTCAGATTGACAGAGGTGAGGACGTTCCAAGTGAGGAGGAAGAGAGTGGGTCTGAAGAGAGGCAAGGGGAAGACAGTGATGACGATGATGGGGGTGGGTGGATAACTCCCAGCAACATCAAGCAGATCCAGCAGGAGATGGAGCAGTGCGACATCCCAAAGGATGTGCGGGTCGGCTGTGTGACGACAGACTTTGCCATGCAGGTGGGTGGGGCAGGCAGGGACTGGCCCTGAGCTTTGTGTCACAAGCAGCATCGGCTGGGGTCCTACAGAGACACGGGGTGTGTGCAGAGCTGCCATGGTGTAATGCTGCTTTTCTGCTTCCAGAAACTATTCATGCTCTTTGGTAATTTTCAGTTTTGCTTGGACACTAGACAATCATGTGGGAAGAAGATTTGAATAGTATATTAAGTATTTAACGTTTACTCTTCATGATCTGTTGATACTTTATTTCAGGATAGTTAGTGTTCTGTGCTCAGCTAGGTACTTGGAGATGTCAGAGATGGTTTCCAGCCCAGAGATGTGTATGTTCCCATCCCTGAACCCAATGTTTCTGTCGAGAGAGATTGCTAATGACAGGCCTTGTAAGATGATGGGCATAGGCCCCAGGGCTTGGGAGTGGAAAGAAACCTGGGTCCTTGTTCTCACTGACAGGTCTTAAGAGGCATCTTGAGCTGACTTTCCTTAGCAAAAGCCAAGGATTATGGGCCTAACCAGGGTTTGTGAAGTTCCCCTAACTGTGATTACAGAATTAATGTTAAAAGAAGACTTAGTTCATTTCTGTAACTTGTTGGTTGCAGAATGTCCT